CTAGGGTGTCGTTTAATGCCGCAATATCTTTGTTGATAATTTGTTTGGAAGATCTGTCCATTTTTGATAGTGGGGTGTTCAAATCCCCTACTATAATTGTGTTGCTGTCAATATCTTTCTTGAAGTCCTCTAAGATTTTCTTGATATATTTGGGTGCCCCTATGTTTGGTGCATATATGTTTACAATGTTAATGTCTTCTTGGTGGATTCTTCCCTTGAGTATAATGAAATGACCTTCTGGGTCTCTCTTTATGGCCTTTTTTTTTGAAGTCTATTTTGTCCGATATGAGACTTGCTACCCCAGCTTTTTTTTCTTGTCCGTTTGCTTGGAAAACTTGTTTCCAGCTTTTCACTTTTAGTCTGTGATGGTCTTTTGTCCTTAGGTGGGTCTCTTGTAGGCAGCATAAGTGAGGGTCATGCTTTCTTATTCATTGAGCTATTCTGTGTCTTTTGATTGGAGCATTTAATCCATTTACATTTAAGGTTATTACTGATAGGTACTTATTCATTGCCATTTTTGTACCTGTGTTCCTCTCTGTCTCCCTCTTATCCTTCCTTCCCTTAAAGCAGTCCTTTTAGTATTTCTTGTAGAGCTGGTTTGGTGGATGCGTATTCTTTTAGGCTTCTTTTGTCTTGGAAGCTCTTTATTTGGCCTTCTATCTTGATTGAGAGCCTTGCTGGGTAAAGTAGCCTTGGTTGTAGGCCTCTGGTTCTCATTACTTGGAATATTTCTTGCCATTCTCTTCTTGCTTGAAGTGTTTCCATTGAGAAGTCAGTAGCTAACCTTATTGGGGCTCCCTTGTATGTTACTTCTTTTTCTCCCTTGCTGCCTTTAAGATTCTCTCTTTGTCTTGGAATTTTGCCATTTTGATGATGATGTGTCTTGAAGTGGGCCTCCTTGGGTTTCTCTTGATTGGGACTCTCTGCGATTCCTGGATTTGTGAGACTTTTCTCTTATCAAATTAGGGAAATTTTCTCTCATTACTCATTCAAATACGTTTTCCATCCCTTGTTCTTCTTCTTCTCCTTCTGGTATTCTTATTATTTGGATATTATTACGTTTCATATTGTCTTGCATTTCTCTTAATCCCTCTTCATTCTTTCTGAGCCTCTTTTCATTTTCTTGCTCTTTCTGTGAGATGCTTTCTACCTTGTCCTCCAACTCACTAATCCTATCCTCCACTTCATCTATCCTACTTTGGAAACTTTCTACTGTGTTCTTCAATTCGGAAATTGTATTCTTCATTTCCTCTTGTCTCTTGCTGATAGTTTCCATTTCCTTTTTCATGTTGCTGTAGTTTGCAGAGAGATCATTGTAGTTCCCCTGTAGTTGTGGTAGTTCACTGTGAGCTCTTTGAACTTCATAATAACCAGTGCTTTGAATTCACTATCTGATAGTTGATTAACCTCTATTTCATCTAACATTCTTTCTGAAATTTCTGCTTTTTCTTTCATTTGGGGATTGTTTCTTTGTCTTCCCATTGTTTGAGACTTTTGTTGTTAGTCTCTGCTTCTAAAATTGATCTGTTCTACAAGCCTGGTTTTATGGTGTGAACTTCTGTGGTATGATCCTTGTGAAGTTCAGTGGTGCAGACTCCTTGAAGTTTCTTGATGTTTTTCATCTCCACCTAGTCTCACGCTTGTCCTCGCGCTGGTCCCCGCGTTGGTCGCCTACCACTGCTGAATGTCCCGGCTCTAGTAGCCGCCTCCTCAAAGCACCCAGGCCCGTTACTAAGGCAGTGGCACAGAGGCTGGGAATGTCCTGGCTCCCGTATCTGGCTCCTCTGCCGCCCAGGGCCCTCACAGGTTTTGGAGTGTCCCGGTTTCCGTACCTGACTCCCTGGCATCTAGTCCTGTCTCTATGGCAGTGGCACAGAGGCTTAGAATGTCCCAACTCCCGTACCTGATTCCCCAGCGTCCAGTCCCGTCGCTATGGCAGTGACACAGGGGCTGAGAACATCCCGGCTCCCGTAGTGGGCTCCTCTGCCCCCCGGATCGTCACAGGGGTTTGGAGTGTCCCAGCTCCCATACCTGACTCTCCGGCGTCCAGTCCAGTCGCTATGGCAGCGGCACAGGGGCTGAGGACGTCCCGGGTCAGTAGCTGGCTCCTCTGCTGCGTCACAGGGGTTTGGAGTGTCCCGGCTTCCATACCTGACTCCCCAGCGTCCAGTGCCATCGCTAGGGCAGCGGCACAGGGGCTGAGGACCTCCTGGCTCTCATAGCTGTTTCCTCTGCCACCCAAGGCTGTCACAGGGGTTTGGAGCATCCTGGCTTCCGTACCTGACTCCCCAGCGTCCAGTCCAGTCGCTATGGCAGCAGCACAGGGGCTGAGGACGTCTGGCTCCTGTAGCTGGCTCCTCAGGGCCCAGGCCTGTCTCTATGGTGGCGTCACAGGGGCCTTTGGTGTCCCAGCTCCTGCTACTGACCCTTCTGTTGCCCAGGCCTGTAGCTATGGCATCGGCACAAAGGCCGAGAATGTCCCAGCTCTGGTTCCTGACTCCTCTGTGTCCCAGGACCGTCACAGGGGCTTGGAGTGTCCGGCTCCCATACCTAACTCCCCGGCTCCCAGGCCTGTTGCTATGGCAGCAGCACAGGGGCCGCGTGAGACCCAGCTCCAGTAGCTGACTCTGCCGCCATCTGGTGTTTCAGCGTCGGTCACAATCTCTGGTCTTTTAATTTCATAAATGCTGGGTAACCAATGGTTTATTGTGCTGTTTCTCTATAGATCTGCCAGGATTTTCACCCATGAGTACAGGAGCTAGCATCAGCTCCATCTTACTCTGTCGCCATCTTCCCAGCATCCTCTAATAAATGTTTTTGAATAAATGAGTAATTAAATCATTTGACTAAATAAGAGAGATACTTTGGAAATTGTACTTAATAGTTTCCTGGAGACTAGCCCAATTTTGCCTTTTTTTTTTTCTGTCACCACATTCACTGTATTCCCCCACCCATGTTCTTTTTTCACCAATGGGCAGTCACTTTTATATTCCACCAGGCCCCCAAAATGGCCAGACAGGCAGATGGAGAAGCAACACCATCAATCATTGTCAAGTGTGCACTCTTCTCTTGATGTGAAAGTGAGAGCACTGTTATTTAAACATTGTCCAATCTCTTTGCATCTTACAAAGTTTAACTTCCACAAAAAGCAAGAAGGCAATTGCTATGGATTGAACAGTGTATATTGGCAGATACTATTAAGATTAACTTCCTTCCTTTCCTTGTTCAACTGGTTCTGTAAAAGGCAGTGGGTTTCTCATGTCTTTTTCAATTTAGATTTATTGAATTTCTGAATCTCAGCTATATCTTGTTTGCCAGATATTTTGGCAGATTAAGTAGTAATGGAGCACATAAAAGAAAGTCAGATTTCCACAATGGCTAGTCTACTCCACTTTCTGACACTCCCATCTCCCATTGCAGCCTCATTTGATATTGCCTCATTCTCCTTGTATCCTGAAAACTTCTTCCTGCCCTTCCTTAACTGTACCTGTCCTCAAGTTTCAGCCTTCTGCAATTTTCCCACAGTGAAACTCTGCACTTCATTTTCTACCACCAAGCTTATACTTCTATTTCTCCAGCTTTCAACTTCACCCAAAATGTTTATCTCCAATGGTCTGTGGCCAGTTGTATTTGGATATCCAACCTTTAATGAAATATGCCCAATACCTAATCTATCACCTTCTCCTCAAAGGAAAAACTTCTTTTATCCTCTTCCTCTAATATATACACACATATTTTAACAATAACTACCTGAAATCATTTTGTCTCCAAAATCAATGTAACCTTCATAGTCAGTTATCATGATACCATATAAATAGCTTATTACCTTTCTCTTCTTCACCATCCCCTTCACTAATGCACTAGCATAAATTGACAACACAAGAGCTCAGAATTACAATACAACCTCCCAATTCAGGGTCTCTCAAAGTGTGGCCCAGCCACCCTTGCAGCAGAATCATTTGAGGAGCTTGTTAATATATAGATGCCCAGACACCATGTGAACCCTAACCTGCAGAATTAGAAATTTTCTCACAACCTCCTATGTCTACCCCAATCCAAATTACCCTGCAACTGTCTACACATGGTTTACACTAGGATACCCCAGTTTAAGGACTACCTCTTTGTATCTAGTATATTTGCATGCAAATATATCTAACACATTTGCATAAATTGAGCCTATAAAGTTAACCTTAAGGATCAGAACTCCCTCACATTTTAAAAAAGGTAATTAAAATCCAGAGAAATTTTCACCCATGGAGGTTACAGAGTAGTTAAGTGGCAAAGCTTGGTTTGGATCTCGGCTTGTGATTTTCAAGCAATGAAGAATAGAGTTAACATAGTAGACCTGACTGCTATCCTTTGATAGCCCTGCTTGTAAGATGCCCCGGGATGGCATCTGGGAATTCTTATTTGGACAGGGTTTCCACTATTCCCAGGACTGGTAAGAGTTACTCACTGTGTCTAAAATGTTTTTTATAGACAATATGGTTTAAAGCAAACACCTGCTTTCCTTCTGGGAGTCTGGGATTTGGGTACATGTCAAACAGAGGATGCTATGTGACCATCCCCCAGTAAAAACCCTGAGCACTGAGTCTCCCAGGAGCTTTCCTGGTTGGCAACATTTCACACATGTTGTGACAACTTGTTATTGAGGGAATTAAGCATGTCTTGAGTGACTCCACTGGGAAAAGACACTTGCAAGCTTGCACCCGGTTTCCCTTGGACTTTGCTGCCTGTGTCTTTTCCCCTCGTTGCTTGTGATTCATATACTCTCACAGTAATAAATCATAGTCATGACCATGACTATATAGTGAGTCCTGTGAATCCTACCAGTGAATCATCAAATATGAGGGTGGTCTTGGGGACCTCATGACCCAGAAAACAATTATTTTCATAACATATTTTATTGACTGTCTCTTGGGATGTTTAAAAGAGGCAGTAGGAGTAGTCAAAACAAGATAGCCTGAAGAAAAAGCAGCATGATTTAAATGGTGAGTTAGGTGCTCGCTTCAGCAGTACATATACTAAAATTGGGACAACACAGAGAAGATTAGCATGGCCCCTGTGAAAGGATGACATGTAAATTTGTGAAGTGTTTTATATTTTTAGAGCTGTGTGTGTTTGTGGGTGTTTTAAAGGACTTTAGGATCTTAATGATGACATTAAGTCATTACTCTAAGTCTGCATAATTTTTGAATAAATAATTCCTTTCCTTTTCATCAAAAAAATAATAATAATAAATGCTGACTTAGCTGCTAAGTCTGAGTCATAGTTTCACTGTTTATAAAATTGGGCCATTAATACTTACTTTGTAAAGTTTTAAAAAAGGTTTGGAGACAATAGTACAAGAGGTTCATAGCATACACCCTTTAAGGAGCTATTATTTTCATTCAGAGTCTTTTGACTAAGATGGAATGATCAAAAGGAATTATGTGGCTCAAATTTCATGTTTCCATATATTCATGAAACAATGGATCTAATTATGTATGTGGACTAAAAGGTGCCAATCATGTTGGAACTTGTGAGCAGATTGCTTTTCTCAGGATCTGGGTAGATATCCTCCAACTAAGGACTTGCAGTGGGAATTGTGTGGAAAGCAAGCACAAAAAGAACATGTTTATATTCATCCTCAACTTTCAACCTATGCTTAGCTACTTGTCTCTTGCTTTTGAGGTCCTGCCCTCTCCACTGATTTCTGGGACCTGACCTCTTTCTGGCTGCCTAGCTGCAGTCCTTAACTATTTATCAAATGCTCAGCTATTCCTCCCACTATACCCTTTTCCAAACACTGGTTCACAAAAACTCATTCACTATTATTCACTTGGTCCTATATGGAGGATCCCCACCAAAACTCTATCCTGACTGAATCCCTAGCTTCATCTCTTGACTGGCTTGTAATATATGCTCTTGAATAAAGTATACTTCTATTTCATGAAAGAATTACTAGACAAATATAATTCCAGTCAGTGCCAGCATATTTGGAAGAAAAACTCATTTATGTTTATTTACTCTTCTTGTCCAACACTTCTTTTTAACATTTTGCTTATTTATTTTTAGGGAGAGGGGAAGAGAGGAAGGAAGAGAGGGAGAAAAACATCTATGTGAGGTTGCCTCTCACATGCCCCCTACTGGGGACCTGGCCTGCAACCCAGGCATGTGCCCTGACTGTGAACCCTTTGGTTCACAGGCTGGCACTCTCTACTGAGCCACACTAGCCACGGCTCTAACACTTCTTCTTAACACTAATATATTTCATCTGAAATAATGTAACAAAAAGATTTAAAGCTGAGTTACTTTGAATCTCTTCAGCAATTCAAATGAAGTGGTTTCTTTAGTATACACAAGGGTAGCTGCCATAAGAAGCAGACTGTATCTGAAAGGAGTTGTTTTATGGTACATCATCTTCAGAAAGAAACATCACTAGTCTTCCATATCAAGAATAAAATATCTAAACAAAGACATTTGCTCTGTATTTCTCAACCAGATGTGACATAATGGCAAGAGTATTGCATGGGGAATCAGGGGACCTGTGTTTCAAACTTTAACTGTAATCTAGTCGTTATGAGCTTTTCCCACCTCTATTTTCATATGGGTAGCAGTGAGCTACTAGAACTTGCTACAATAGAATGTGAGTGGAAGTAAGTGTGTCACTTCCCTGCTAAGGTGGCTTTGAAGCAAGTATCCCCCCTCCATGCTCTCTTCCCCTAGGTCCTGGCTGGATTTTGACACCCAAGGTGACCTTAGAGGCCACATGTTTAAGACTGTAGAGCCTCTCTCATCTGGAGTCTCTCAGTGGCTACATAAATAATCAGCCTTTTCCTCTTACCAGTCAGAAACATCTGCACTATTTTAAGTCACTGACATTTTGAAATTTTGTGTTATAGTAGCTAGTATGTCCCTAATTAATTTTTTCCCTCTGTATATCAGTCTCCTTGGGTTGTTATCAGGATTAAATGAGTTAGAACAATGCTAACATATAATAAATAATAAATGTTAGCTATTAATATTATTACCTGCTTCAATGCTAACTAGTTATGAGACATTGAACATGTCAAATTCCCTGGACCTCCATTTCTTCTATTGTAAAATATAGGAGTCATGCTTGATGATTCCTAAATTTCCCTAAATTTGAAGTTTTATAATAATAAGCCTCTTCAAACTGCTGAGAAAAAAAGTTATCTTCATTTATAGAAAGTGGCCAGAAGATGAGGTAGAGTCAATCAGAATATCAAGGAAAAGAAGAAAAACAGACAATAGCACATAGGACACTGAGAGAAAAAATACATTATTAAAAGAAAAGCAGGACTTCTGCCAAGATGGAGGCATAGGTGGAAACACTTTGTGTCCTCGCACAACCAAACCTAAAAACAATAAAGTTTTAACAACAATAAATGCAACCAAACCACACAGAAAATCGACAATATGGAGTCCCAACGAAAACAACAAACCGCTCAGCTAAACCGGTGAGAGGGGTGAAGCCAGTATTGGAGCGGGTAGGGCAGGGAAGATGGATGTGCACAGGCAGCCAAGGGCGCAGATCCCAGGTGTGGGCTAGTAAGGGTGGACACAGGGAAGAGGCGCAGCTGGCTGTCTGCGGTGGAGCATTTGAACGCAGATAAACCAGTAAAGAGGCGAGCACTGAGACTGCACGGTGCAGGGCGGTGGGCTCACACATTTGCACTCAGATAAACTGGCAGGGGGTGAGCGATGAAGAGGACAGGGCAAGCAGAGAGGACCACAGTGCTCCCTCTCTGACCCTGCCCCCACATAAGCTTCACAAAACAGCGACCTGGGTGGCCCCGCCCTGGTAAATGACTAAGGCTCAGCTCCTTGTATGTAACAGGCACAAGCAGATAAAAACATAGCTCAAGAACAACTCAGAGCCCCAGAGCCAATAAATCTAAGTGATGAAGAAATAGCTAAACTATCAGATGCACAGTTCAAAACACTGGTGATCAGGATGCTCACAGAACTGGTTGATTTTAGTCACAAATTAGAGGAACATATCAAGGCTAAACTAATTAAAATGAAGGGAATTTCACAGGAAACCAACAGTAATGGAAAGGAAACTGGGACTCAAATCAAGGGAGTAGACCAGAAGGAAGGAAAAAATGACCAAACAGAAAAATATGAAGAAACAAGAATTCAAAAAAATGAGGAGAGGCTTAGGAACCTCCAGGACATCTTTAAACACTCCAATATCCGAATTATAGGGGTACTAGAAGGGGAAGAGAAACAGTCACAAGTGGAAACCTTATTTGAACAAATAATAAAGGAGAACTTCCCCAATCTGGCAAAGGAAATAGACTTCCAGGAAATCCAGGAAGCTCAGAAAGTCCCAAAGAAGTTGGACCCAAGAAGAAACACACCAAGGCACATCATCATTACATTAGCCAAGATTAAAATGAAGGAGAGAATCCTAGAAGCAGCAAGAGCTAAGGGGACAGTCACCTACAAAGGAGTTCCCATCAGACTGTCAGCTGATTTCTCAAAAGAGACCTTACAGGCAAGAAGGGGCTGGAAAGAAGTATTCCAAGTCATGAAATTCAAAGACCTACAACCAAGATTGCTCTATCCAGCAAAGTTTTCATTTAGAATGGAAGGACAGATAAAGTGCTTCCCAGATAAGGTCAAGTTCAAGGAGTTCATCATCACCAAGCCCTTATTATATGAAATATTAAAAGGGGCTTACCTAAGAAAAAGAAGATAAAAAAGATGATGAACAGTGAAAGGACAGCAAACTCACAGTTATCAACAACCACACCTAAAACAAAAGTAAATTAAGAGGACAGCTAGATCAGGAGTGGAAACATAGAAATGAAGATCTCAAGGAGGGTTAGCAACAGGGGAGTGGGAGGAAGAGAAGGGGGGAGAAGGTACAGAAAATAAGTAGCATAGACAGTAGATAGAAAATAGATAGGGGGAGGGTAAGAATAGTTGGGGAAATACAGAATCTAAAGAATTTGAGACACGCGTTCATGAACTAAAGGGGGAAATGGTGGGGGAGGGGTATGCAGGGTGGAGGAGAATGGAGGGGGGAAATAGAACAAATGTAATGGCATAATCAATAAAATAAAATAAAAATATATTTAAAGTCAAAAAAGAAAAGCATATTTTGTTTTTGAGATATATCCATCAATTTTGAAAAAAGTTTTGAAAAGAAGATTTACAAACCGGGCTGTGTCCGTGAGACTTTCATTCACACCCAAGTGAATATCTTGTGTGGTAAGAAAACAAGGGTGACCTCCCAGAAGTGAAAAGCCTATAATAAAAGAGAAAACAAAAAGCATTTTTTTTAAAAAAAGCACTAAAGCAGGTAACACAATTATGAACTGGCACCATGGAGACAGGAATTTTCACTATTGTATCACTCTTAAGAACCTAGAATAAATAATGGTACATAGTAAGTACTTGACAAACACTTGTTGAATTAACTTAGGAGGGATTTTGACTCTGAAGAGAAGACCCATTCTTTTCACTTGCAGACATCTAATTTTGTTAACAGAAAGAACAGTATGTTCAGTTGTATGTGAAGTGAACTAATGGGATTTAGTGATGATTATAATCACTAATCATTCTTTCTGAGTACTTCATCTGTTTATAAACAGGAAAAGTCACCTAAATAAATATGAATACTGTGAATTCATCAAGAAAGTATTTATTGTGTGCCTACTATGTATCTAACACAGCGATAAATGTCATTGATGGTTGGAGACTATGGAAGAACATTTCACACATAAGACCTGGCAAGTCTGCTCCAAGTCAGTCTTACTTTGACTAGAAACAATTTTGCTGCAATAACCCAGGATTAGATTGTTACCTTTTCATTTTCCTCTGTTTGCTATAAAGAAGAGACACATCAAGCCTGGACTTATGAGGTAGGGGGAGGAAGATGGGTTACAGAAATTGTTAAGTAGGAGTCAAAGCCTTCAGACTCTAAAAAGGAATTTCCCTCTGCAATTTGGTCACTGATCCAAAAGAAGCCTCAGACCCCATTCCAAAAGCATAGGTCATGTATTCACCAGTTTATCAGACCAGGGTGGCAGTAACTGCTCCAGGAGGATGTCAGATATTTTGAGAAGTCACCAGGAGCTGCCATTTCTAAGG